TATATATATATATATATATATATATATATATATACATATAGACCAAGGTTTTTACAGAGAACATCTTGAAAAATATGAAGAACAAAATACAGATTTCCATTTATTAATGACACTTCTGCATTCATCTTATTTGGAGGAACTAGAACCACAAACACTGTTGTCTGCCATTGTAAAATAATATTCCCTGACGCTCCTCCCCAATGCGTAAGATGCGTCAAAAGTGGACCAATAACAAGCAAGCATTCAAGATGGACGTTTTCCAGAACAAATTGGAACATTTTTCATCGGTGCTGTCAAAATCATCATAGTCATTGATTAAATTCTGACACTATCCATTCACAAAAACATAAAACATCCTTCAGGGCCCCTGAAATGCCAGGGCCCCGGGCTGCAGCCCCTGTAAGCCCCTGCTAAAATCCGGCCCAGGTTACAGACGGAAGAAGAAGAAGAGCTGCGCGCACCGCCTTTAAAACAGAGGAAGAAGAAGGAGCACAGCACGAGGTTTTTTTGGGTCTATTGTGATTGAACGATTGCTGAGGGTTTATCAACATTACAAACATGTGTCTGCCAGGGGTACAGATACAATGCTCCACACTGGTTAGTCGTCATTATCTGCATCGTTTTTATGTCTATATTCTGATTTACTTCATTTTGTATTTTGCTTTGTGTGTTACCCGTTGTTCTGTCTGTACAGCACTTTGGTTGGCCTTGTCGCTGTTTTAAGTGCTCTATAAATAAAATGGTATGGTATGGTATACAAAAGTAATAGTATAAATGAGAACAATATAATTATGAAATGGTACAAAAGGTAAAAAAGTCTAAAAAGATACAAAACAATGTATTTACAGGTTATATAAATAAATTCACATTAAGTTTTTTTCTAGAACTGAGATGGTTTTCATTGCCTTTTTGTTTTCAAGTCCTTTAATAGTGCTGCTGTATCTGTAAAGTTCCTTGATGAAGAGAGTTTGGTTTGGAGTTTGACCACTTTTTCTTGTGAATGTGAAATTTTCCCAGGAGAAGTTGAAGTTGGGTGAAGTAGATCAAGTCTTTATCCATATCCTTATTGTCAAAGCATCATATAATGTCTTTCTCTGAAAGCTGAATTATTTGTCCAGTTTTCTGTCGTATGAGTTGTACATCTGTCCAGAATGTCTTTGTGTGATTACATCCTCACCTCCTTCTACAGGTGTGCAGTGGAGAGCATCCTGTGCTCCAGCATCAACGTGTGGCATGGAGGCTGCACAGCTGCAGAAAGAAAAGCTTTGCAGAGAGTGGTGAAGGCTGCACAGAAGATGTTGGAGTCAGCCTCCCCACCATCACAGACATCTACACCTCCAGATGCAGGAAGAGGAC